AAAAAAAAAAAGTGATTTTGTAGACTGGTGGCAGCAGTCACCTTTTAAGAAGCCTCTTACTGCATGTGGATTGCTTCCTATAGTGTTCCTGCTTAGAAAACTGAGGCCCGATATGATTATACGGGAGAAGGAGATGAAGCCCAGAGCTCAGTCTACAGAGTGACGAGAAAGAAAGAGCACAGGTATTAGAGTCAGAGACTGCTGTGGTGCTGCAAGGTCGATCTGAACCACAAGGCTGGCAGTTCAAGTTCACCCAGTCACTCTTTGGAAACCCTATACAGGGTCGCCAAAAGTCAGCACCGACTGGATGACACATTTAACAACGACAACATATTCTAGATTTAAGGCAAATGGCTCTACTTCTCTGCGCTCCCATGTCATTATAAGCAAACATGGGAATAATTAACTCTGTAGGACTACTGTATGCAAAGCTCCCAACACAGAGCCTGGCTCTCAGTGAGTGCCTACCAAATGCTAGTCCTACTCCCTTTATAAAGAACTTTAAATGGAGGGTACAGAAACATCACACCAAGCCAGGCTCCTTTCCGCATTTAACTGTGAGAAGCTTTGACACTCAGGCAGCGGCAGCTGGCACCAATAGCAGGTACTCCACAGTAAGTGTCTGGGTAGGAGGAGGGGGTCTGAGTCATAATCTCTCTGGCATGTTCAGTTCCTAATCCACCTCCGTCCTGGTATGTCATCCCCCACATTGTGAACCATCCGGCACCCAACATCTTACAGAAAAAAACTGGAAGGTTTACACCATTTCCCAGACCAGACTCCAGGTTATGAGGACAAAAGCATTCTCAGTGTCAGCTGGCTCCTGCAAGTGTGGGAGGGGCGAAATGCAAGTGCTGAACACCAGCTGGCTGGGCTGGGTCCTGATCTGTATCTCAGATGCCTTTGGCTTAATGGACACAGAGGACAGAAGTCTCAAAGGCCGGAAAAGGAAGATTTTAAACGTTCTTGTCTGCAGTTCGGGAAAAACAACAAATTATGTGTTCTAAGTCATAAAACAGAGAGGGGAAAAGTAGATATGACTTTTCTCCTGGCATATTAGGACCCTGCTCTGTTTTTGATGGGCAGGCTTAATTAGATCTTAATGTAATATTCAGACAGATGGTCATTAATGTCCCTCCAACTTAGCTCAAGGAGAATGAAATGCTTGGGGTACCAACACCCAATCAATTTCCAAAACAATACTTACTTTAGGGTCTGAGCTCTTGAATTTTAACCTTTCCACCAACTCGATCAGAGCTGCTTTCAGTCCGCCTGGGTCTTTGCTCTAAAAGAAAGAAAAGTCAGAGCTCACTGGACAGCATTTTGTTGCACTCTCAAACACAAACAGCATTTCAGAGAACAGTGAAAAGGAAAGCAATTTTTTTTTCTTCTTATCAGCCAACAGTACTGAACTGCCTTGCTCCTCTTCTTTCTCTACAGACAAAGAGGGTCGGGACAAAAATTGCCCAATGACCTGGGAGAAGGATTGAACTGAAGATTAAATGAGATTTGTACAGGCTGACTCATTGCTTCATCTCAGGCTCAAGTGTGCCAGTGAGGGCCAAGGCTCTGAAGATATCTCCGTGTCTACTTTATGGCTGAGGGAGTTTTGTTTTCAATCTCTGCATGTCAGACATGGAAGTGTCCAATATTAAATATTTTTATACAAGTAAAAACAAGGGGGACCGAATCTTGGGATTTAATTGGAAATGGTATTAGAGTAACTGTTTAGAAGCCTAAGTCAGACAGCTAAGATTTGAATTTGGGATCTATCATGTATAAATTGACTAATTTCAAATGACTGAATTTCTCAAAACCTCTTTTTCTATAAAGAGGGTTTTTTTGTTTTGTTTTTTGTCTTTAAGCTCAATGGGAAGAATGTTGGTAAAGCTACTATCACATGACCCATATTTGTTATTGTTGTTAAGTGTCATCGAGTCAGTTCTGAGTCACAGGGACACTGTATAAGGTTTCCAAGAAGCAACTGGTGAGTTTGAACTACCAACTTTATGATTAGCAGTCCAGTGTTTATCCTACAGTGCCATGCCAGGAGTCCAAAAATAGATTAATTTTAATAATACATTTTATATCATTATCATTGCAACATATAAGTTCAACATGAGACAGTCTCTCTCTATATATGACATCTAATATGGATTTCATACTTGCAGTCCTAATCAATTTGCCCTAGCCACGTTTCAAGTCCTCCATAGTCCTGGTGTAAGGAGCTCTGGTAGCGTAGTGGTTACGAATCGGGCTGTGAACCGCAAGGTCAGCAGTTTGAAACTACCAGCGGTTCCGCGGGAGAAAGCAGCGTTCTGCTCCCGTAAAGATTTACAGCCTCAGAAACCCAGTGCAGGGTCGCTATGAGTCAGAACCGACTCCACGGCACTTAACAACAACAAAGTCCTACTGTGGCACTGTAAGAAAAGCACTGAACTGCTAACCACAAGGTTGGCAGTTCAAACTCACCAGTTGCTCCTTGGAAATCCTATAGAGTCGCCGTGAGTCAGAACTGACCTGATGGAACTTAACAATAACAACAGCATAGTCATATAGTGAAGCATGTTAAGATAGGCACTGAACTGCTAACTGCAAGGTCAGTGGTTCAAACCAACCCACCAACTGTTTCTAGGAAAACCTATGCAGGGTCACGATGAGTCGGAATCCACTCAATGCCACTTAACAACAAAAGCCACATGTAAGGAGCCCTGGTGACACCATGGTTTAAGCAATGGGCTGCTAACCACAAGGTTGGTAGTTCAAACCAAGCAGCTACTCTGTGGAAAAAAGATGAGGCTTTCTGCTCCCACAAAGATTTACAGCCTCGGAAGCCCTATATAGGGTCGCTGTGAGTCGGAACCAACTCTGAAGGCACGTAGTGACAACAACAAGGTGCAGTTCCACTCTGTCCACAGGGTTACTCTCAGTCTGAATTGACGCGATGGCAGTGGGTCTGTTGTTTTTTTGTCGGTTAAAAGCCAGCTCTATGTGGCTAGTGGTCGCTGTGATGCTCAGCACCTACTACACACAAACTCTGGAGTCCCACTAAAAACTCAAGGCACACCCACAGCCATCAAGGTGCTTCCCAGTCATAGGGACCATGTAGGGCACAGTAGAGCAGTCCTGTAAGGTATCCATAGCGATAAATCCTTCTCGCTTTCCCCTGAGAGGATCTAGTGGGTTCATATCACTTACCTTTCAGTTAGCAGACAAGCACTTTAACCACGCTGTCTTGATTCCAATCCCAACTCTACCATTAGCTGTATAACCACAGGCAAGTCACTTAGTCTCTCTGTGCCTATTTAGCTATAAAATATGGCAAATAATAGTACCTATTCAGCTGCTCCTCGGAAACCCTATACAGGGTCGCTATGAGTCAGAATCAACTCAACGGCAGTTAACAACAATTCATAGGGTTGGGATAAAGTTAAATAAGCTAATTCCTGTCAAAGTACTTAGAGAAGCGCTGGCACCTTGCAAACACAATGTGAGACTGAGATCTTTATGATTACTCTCTATCTCGCTCACAAGGTTTAAAGTTATTTAAGAGCAAGAACAACACTTTTTTTCTAGTTCTTGAGTGCAGCGTCAAGTAGGTGTCTTTAGAAGTTGGCTGAATGAACATCCAATACTAAGGCATGAAAGGCTTAATAATAATTCATGACATATATGTAGCACAATCTAAAGTCACATGATTTAGTTTCTTTTGTATCTACAGATCATCACTCTCACTGTACAAGCAAACCTGAAGAAGTAAAATGGCTCTAGTTTTTATGTTGTTGTTGTTGTTAAGTGCCGTCAAGTCGGTTTCAACCCATAGCGACCCTGAATAGGGTTTCCGAGGCTGTAAATCTTGAGAGGGTTTCCGAGGCTGTAAAAAAGATGAGGAGCAGATCACCTCATCTTTCTCCCGCGGAGCAACTGGTAGTTTCGAACTGCTGACCTTCCGGTTCGCAGCCCGATTCGTAACCACTACGCTACCAGAGCTCCTTCATGGGAAGGGACAATAAAGAAGTATAAACACTACAATTATGTCTTACTCAAAATGGGCCTCAGAATCAGTGATGTTTTCCAAATTTCAGGAAATAGTAAGACCCTATTATATGGATTGGTTTTGTTGGTTATGTGCCATGGAGTCGGTTCCGACTCATAGCAACCCTGTACAGGGTTTCCGAGGCTGTAAATCTTTATGGGAGCAGAACGCCTCATCTTTCTCCCGCTAAACAGCTGGTAGTTTCAAACTGCTGACCTTACGGTTCGCAGCCCAATTCGTAACCACTATGCTACCAGAGCTCCTTATTATATGGATTAAAATATACTAATAGCTGAATTTCCCCCCCTCTAGCCTTTCTTTCCTCTCAAAACTATGTAGTCAAATCTGATAGAAGATGATGACAGAAGATGACTTAGACTCAAACTGGCACCTGCTTCAGATGTGCTCCCCAAACACCAACATCTCCATTCAGACGTGCCTCTACGTTTTAATAATTTGTATTTTTAAAGATGATGGTTTACCACTCTCCTAATTTCTGCATCAATTTCAAGTCTTTGATTTCTGTGGTCTCAGACAGCTGGGAAACGGAATCCGCAGGTCACACATGAGGGGGTGGGCAAGACCTGAAGTCTCTAACAAAGGGTTAAGTTGCCAAGCATAATCCTGCTTGTGTAAGACGAGGGTGCAAGAAAGCCTGTTCACTGGCTGAAGAAGCAGGTCACTTGTCCCTGCCAGTGCCCATTTGAAGCTCTCCAGGAAGAGTCCTGATGTGTTTGGACATCCCCCCTGGCTTAGAGGACAAAAAGGAAAGCACCAAAGTGGCCTTAAAATCTTCACAACAGAAACATGAGGACGATGATGAAGGAATCCCTAAGAAGCAGACAGCCTATGTGCAGGCAGATGTGTCTTGTGCAGAGAGATAAGGAACCCTTAGCCTTCTTTTCATAAAAATGCAGAGTGTCAGCAGAATCCTGCCTCCTTTTCACAGAGCGGTGGAGGCAGTGGAGGGAGCAGCGTTGCCTACCCAAGGGAAAGAGTCTCAGAGAGCCTTCCTTCAGGAAAGCACCATTCCACCTCCCCATACCAAGCTCACTGCCACTGAGTCCATTCTGATTCCTATCAACCTTACAGAAAGAACAGAGCACAACTCCCCCTCGGTTTCCCAAGGCTGCAGTCTTTATAGAAATAGACTGCCACATCTTTCTCTCACTCCACCTTTCTACCTACTCTTCAAGAAGCAGTCTCAAATGCTATTTGGACTCTGTGTTGAACCTCCTATTGTCTTTTTTAAAGCACAAAACAAGCAGGTGGTCACAGGGAGAAGCTCCTCTGGGTAGACCCCGGCAGCTGCAAGGCTAAGGCAGGAGGACAAATGGAAAGCCCTGCCTAAAATCCACCCCTTTCTTTCCCACACCTCAAACCACCTTATGCACATGTAACAGACCCCAGCCACCATAGCCAAGCTCTGGCCACACCTGAATTTAGGAATTCATAATCCCTTTACCATGTTCAGTTCCTTAAGGCTTGGACCATTGTTGGGAAGTAAGAATCTCTGAAGGCCCTCGAGGCTGGTTCAGGACATTTGGGTCCTGGGTCAAATACCTTGGGTCCTGGGTATGTGGAATGTGGTCTAGAAGGGGAAGGGCTTGACTGGAGAAGGTGCTTTCAAAAGGGGCTTTAGGAAGGCGCATAGGGATGTCTGGGTCTAAGGGTAGTAGTATCTGGGTAAGGGAGTCCACAAATCTAAGACTGGTATTAGATTTTAGTTAGCTCTTTGTTTGCAGAGACCAACCGTCAGTCAACAGTCAACCAGAACAAGAGATTCTATCCTCCTAGCATAGAAGGATGTCATGCTGGGTAAGATGGAGGGTCAGAGAAAAAGAGGAAGACCCCCAACGAGATGGATCAGCCAGGTGGCAGCATTGATGGCCTCAAGTGTGGCAGCGGTAGTGAGGTTGGCCCAGGATCGGACATTGTTTCATTCTGCTGTGCATGGGGTCGCTATGAGTCGGTTCCGACTCAATGGCACCTGACAACAACAACAACAACAAGGGTAGTGGTTACGACTCGGGCTGCAAACCGCAAGGTCAGCAGTTTGAAACTACGAGCTGCTCCGCGGGAGAAAACTGAGGCTTTCTGCTCCCATAAAGATTTATAGCCTCGGAAACCCTGTACAGGGTCTCTATGAATCAGAACTGACTCCACGGCACATAACCACCACCACCACTTTCCTTAATCACTGCTAGGAAACCCTATACAGGGTCACTATGAGTCAGAACCAACTCAAT